GCGCTGAGACTCAGACCGGTGCTGAGACTGAGACCGGCGCTGAGACTCAGACCGGCATCGAGACCGGCGCTGCCTGGGGAGCGGAGCCGGTGTAGAACAGAAAGCAAAGAGGCAACGGCTTCCTAACAAACTCAAGACTACTAGACTGGTGGTCACGGAGGTGGACGACGGCAATTTTGAGCCAAAGGCGCCCGAGGAAGCGCGTTGATGCTACGGCAATCAAATATGATGCATCGTACAGACAACCGCCACCATCAACGATGAGAAACTACCGAAGATAGAAAATATGAGGAGCTCCCTCCTAAAGAAGTTTCACCAAATATTCTTGTTCTCGAGCCAGAATGAGAAGGATTATGAAGATCCAGATGAGGACCCGGCAATGAAGAAGATAAACAAACACGCCATGACAAAGTTTAGCAACGCGTTAGCCGCCTAGAAAAATCAAGTGAAAGCAAATATCATCGACAAGAAGGAACCCTACTCCGAGATTGTAAAGGATAATCCGACAATCACGGAAGAGCAGTTTCAAATATTCAAGGAGGCTTGCGAGTCCGAAGCTGCCAAAAAAAAGTCTCAGTACATGAAGGGGCTTCAAGAGCGGAACATTGGGAGCCACCACCTCGGAAGCCATGGTTACGGCGGAAAGAGGTCCAAATGGGCCAAGGAGGACGCGGAGTTCATGAGACTGCTGGTAATTTTAGTTTCTGATCAATTCGACTGCACACGTTAGTCATATTTGTAAACGATCCTTGTGCCTTTTGCAGAGAGAGCAGCACCGGATTGCGGCCGAAAGCGACTCGCCGTCTGAGGCATTGGCGAGGCCCAAGTGGGACACTCCATTCAACCGGGCGTTGAACATATTGAAACGACAATCGATGAATACTCGACCGTCGTATGGACGAGTGCACGGTGTCGGAGACGGCGCCACGTGGAAGAAGTACTACCGTGAGACCACAGAGGAGAGAAAGGAAAGACGGAGGTTAACTGAAGAAAACATCGACAAGAAGGTTGAGATTGCGGTTGAGAAGAAATCATCTCAAACAGTCGCAACAGCAGTAGCTGCCACAAAACAGGTGGTTGCAGATTTTTCTACTTCCTTGGTAACGGGTGTTATCACTTGGACAAGGCAAATTCCAGAAAAAATGCAGAGGACTTTCCCCTTGCCGACTTCTTGGGGAGCAGCTCGACTAGCGTTGCACCAGCACCTGCTCCCGCACCGGCTCCCGCACCTACTCCCGCACCGGCTCCCGCACCGGACGTGCTCGGTGGTGCTTCATCTTTAGCTGAGCTCGACGCCCTCACGGTATCTGTCACACCGGCCCCCTTCAATATAAATGTATAATCTCTCGTTTTCGTTGCCTTTCGGATGTCTCACGTCGCAGACTTTTCTTTGCAGGCCGATGAAACCCCGTGCACCATATTGTACACCATCGGCGATCAGAAGGTGGATGTGGGGAAGGCGACGATAATGAAGCCGAAGGAACTATTATTCCACAGCCGGCCGATCCCCCCGAACGTCTTCAAGGTTTCCGTGGCCAGTGTCAAACCGGGCCACGAGAATTTGCCTCCTCCAATACTAGCGGGGGATGACGACGAGACACCGCGGCGGCTTGCTGATTGTTGCAATGGGTGGGTGCTGTTGTGGCCAAAGAGTCTGCTTCGTCTGGAGGCGGCCGGGAGCACACCCACGAGCACGCAGCCTCAGCAAGGTATGAACATCAACACCTCACCTACCCAATTAGCGTCGGGTGTCGGGTTGGGTGATAGCGGACGGGGTAAGGAGGAGGCTCCATTAGTCGCTGATGACGTCGCCATGGATGAGGATGAGGACGACGATGGCGCTGAACAGTATGTCTATACTGGCGCCTCCTCAGGGTTTGAGCGTCATGAGTCGGTGCCTGAATTGCCATCTCAACATATTATGGACGACCTTCCGATAGTAAAGAAGTCTAGGAAGAGAGCGAGGAAAGGCAAAAAAGCTGATTCTATGATCCAGCTGCCTCAGCAGCCTCGGCTTCAGGACCCTATAGATATCCCCGATGCAGATAAATGGCATATCCCCGGTCAACCAATCCTACATGCAACAGCGCTACGGGCCAGATTCGGCGATCTAAGGAGACTTCATGACGATGTGCTACGGGTAGAGAAAGGCCTCATCGCCTCGAAAGATCCAGGATACCCACTCTACGTGGTTAACGTTCCGCGGCAAATGTCGTACGTCGACAGCTTCCCCGCGGATAAGTTCTTCCTCCGATTCGATTACATATTCGACATGTTTCACGTGAAGAAGCTGGATTTTACGTTTGTCCGCCTTTATGCCTTGCACAAGAACTACATCATCGAGGTTGAGCAGATATCTAATATCTGTGTCGCTGACCCGTACTACATGCACGGGGGCTTCTTGGGAGTCTGCGCAAAGCACCGTGAATACGCGAGGGATTACATCGTCACTTTCATGCTCGCCAATAAGGACAAGGAGGCGATTCTCGTGCCTTATCATCCCGTGTAAGTCATCCGCGCCGCTATGCTTCCTTCGATTTCAATCATTCATTTGCACGGTGGAGGCTAATTAATTTGAGGTGTACTTATTTTGCGCAGCGGCGGGCGCGCCGTCCTCATCATCCTCTACCCCCGATTCTCCCATGCTCTTTACTTGGACTCGTCGAAGAACATTCACAAAAAAGATTACACCCACATCAAGGATGTTCTCGACAGTGCTATGTTTTACTACCAAGTAAGGGGTGGAGAGGTCAGGGACAAGAAGACAAGGGGCGGCAGGGCCGCCTTCGGCCATAAGACCGACTTCTGCTGCATCTAGCAACCGAACGATTCTCTTAATGATGGATTCTATGTCCTACACCACATGCTGGAGTACAGACGGGATCACCAGAACCTTCGCGTGTCACCTAGATCCGGCGATGCCCATATTCTGCAATGGGCAAAGGACATAGAAGATATCGAGGATCATCGACTTCGAGCTGAGTTCTATAACATCCAACACGAACTTGCCCAAATCATCATGAAGGAGGTCGTCGGAAAAACAGGGATGTTCTACGGAGAAGGACAAATGTCGCGGGAAGACGTCCGAACATGGATAGCCTCTCAGCGTCTCGACATGAGGCCTTTCACTAAGCTCAAGGACTATCTCCCTGACTTGGATGGATGGAATGACATGTTGGAGTGATTGTCGATATATGACAATGTGTCCGTATAGTCCATACTTTCTGTATGACAAAACTTTGAGTTATGCATGGTGAAACTTTATTTGTGATGTAGTTAAACCGTCCTCCTCCTCGACTAGCGAAAATCACTCTAGTTAGGGCATTTTGGGGTACGATGAACTTTGTTATTTATGCTTATGATATGTTGTTTCTATTTTTGCTAAGTCTGTCTCTTTCTGTTGCTCAATATATATGTTGCATATCATCGACTCATGTGACGATGCAGGTGCATAGATCATAGATGGCGAAGAAGTGCTACGCCAGGAGTATATATACGATAAGTGGCCGGAGTGTCAGGCCCAGGTGTACCGGTTTTCGCTTTTCGAGCGACAGGCAGTAGTTAGTTTAGGTTCACGCTAATGCGAGAAAGGGATACGAACTCATGTACTCAAAGTGATAGCTCTTCTCGCGTATATCATTGTTTAGATGGATGACGATGTATTTGCAAATAATCGAGACTTGTATCGCTTTTTTCGAGATAATGACGAGAGACCACTTTGTGTTGGATGATGATTATGATGAGACTATTTGTATGTATATGTTATGATTACATCTGTGGTCTCGCAGGCATTTGTATGTGTATCATGATGACATTTGTATGTGCTAAAGATTCTTCTATAAAGCATGTTCAAATACAAAACAAATATGCCAAAAAAAACAAAAAACTACTAAAATTAGCAGTAGCGAGTGGAGAAAAGTTAGCAGCAGCGCGGTAGTAGCAGCAGCACGCACGGAAGAAGCGCGCTATAGCTATTAGCAGTAGCGAGCTTCCACTAAGCGCGCTGCTGCTACACAAGTGTAGCAGCAGCGCTCGTGAACACGCGCTACTGCTATGTGTTAGCTGTAGCGCCTTATTAGTAGCGTCGGTCCGCGCGCTACTGATACACCTAAAACCCGCACTGCTGCTAGCCTTTTCCCTAGTAGTGTTAGGTTACTCCCTCTGTTTTTATATTTATATAAGGTCGCTTTATATTAGTTTTCAAAAAAAATACTATTTTTTATTTCGAATTTTGACCAGTAGTTTTACCAACGAAGTGTGAGTTATAAATAAAAATGTTGTCACAGTCCCATGCATGCCTGCTACAAAAAAAATGAAAAGGGAAACTACTCCTTCCGTAAAGAAATATATCATGTTTTTTGAACACTAAGAAATAGTATATCATGTTGATTACTAGGTGGAGTACTAGTAACTTTTTTTTAGGGGAAGTACCAGTTGTGATTAATATCCAGTACTAATTTTTTTTTGAACATCAGTACAGACACAAGCGCTCATATACACGCGCATACACTCATCCCTATAAACGCACACACGCACACCCTACCCCTATGAGCACCTCCGAGAGACCGAGCCGGCATATCATCTTGAGATTTACGAAGTCACCGTAGGCGCCTCGTCGTCGACGGGAACGTCTCCTTCCACTGAAAGCGTATCGCCGGAAATCCTGAAATAAATCCAGAAATAATGCGAGCACTAGGATTTGAACCCTGATGGGTTAGGGATACCATTGTCCACCTAACCAACTCAACCACAGGTTGATTCGCATATCCAGTACTAATTGATTGCATGCATGTCACGATACGTACATGTTGGCCAGCACGCAATTGGGTTAGATATGTGTTTAAAAAAGTGGGTTAGATATACACGTACAGATCAGTACATGCGTATGGAAATCAGCACCTCAACCGTACGCGAACTATATACTCGCCTCAAATCGAGGGAAGACTCTTTCTCGCAAAAGAGGGAAAAAGGAAAGATCGACGGAATACTTGGCGGCGGCAATGGCGGTCTCCGACGACGTCCTCCGCGAGATCCTGGTCCGATTGAACGACGCGGCCGACCTCTTCCGCTGCGCCACCACGTGCAAGCGATGGTGCGGCCTTGTCGCCGATCCATCCTTCCTACGTCTCCGGTGGCCGGAGCACGCCCGCCCATCCTTCGCTGGATTGTTCATCAAGGACCGGGGCCGTTATCAAGGGGCCAAGGTGCTGGTCCCGATGCCGTCGTCGGAGCTGGGCCCTCGGCGCCGTGCCCTCAGCTCCTTCGTGCCCGGTGACTCCGCAGACCTATTACACCATGCGGTGCCGCTGTGCTCAAGTCGTGGTCTCCTTCTCGTGCGGCTCGCCTCCCAGAGTGCCGCGGGCGCCGTCCACTTGGCGGTGTGCAACCTGCTTGCCGGCACATGGGACGTGCTCCTTCCTATACAGCTAGATTGCCAGTCTCGTGCCGGTGAGCGTAGCGGCTACGCCATCGTGACTGGCACGGACTATTGTTCCGGCGACGACGAGCAACCACCGGGAAATTCGTCCTTCTTCAAAGTGATAATCATCACCGTCAACTACACGGACAATCTGACGTTCCATGTTAACATGTTCTCCTCCCATGAAGCGAGTTGGGGTATGGGCACAGTGTGCTTCAAGGGTACCATACATGCCACCGGGTCATTTTGTCATAGCGATGCAGTTATGCGCCACGGAACCGCGCACTGGTTATTTCGTGATGGGAGAGCACGGAATTTCTGTCTTCTTAAACTGAAGAACCAGGACGACCATGTCTCCCTCGCGATCACGAGGCTCCCTGTCTCGTTGATGACTGGAGTAGGTTACCCGTGCCTTAGCTTAGCCACTGATGGCACGCTCTCGGTGCTACAGATGAAAGAGACAAGTTCCCAGCTAGAGATATGGAAACTACAAAAGGACCAACAGAGTGCGGATACTACCTCAGAATGGCTCTTCACACAGAGGATCGAGCTAATGCATCCTAGGAAGGACACTCAAGGAGGAGAAAGATTCTACATACTCGCAGAGAAGTGTGGCAAATTGCTTGTCAAGGACACGCGCGAACGTGTGTACACCGGTGACCTTCAGACTGGGGCAATGGAGGAGGTGGTAGACTGGCCTCGCACACGCCACACCAGCACTCCGAATGTCATGCCCTTGGAGTTGGATTGGGCGGCCTTCTTTGTTTCTCGTCTCGGTACCATTAGGTATAGCCAGCCTGATATTCATCTTTCTTCGTTTGTGTTGCACAACTGATGGTATCATCAGCTATCTAGGATGATTAAGCGTTTCTTCTATGGTTAGATGACTCAAAGTCAATGCTGTTTTATTTTACCATGTTCATGTATTTGATGCTTCCTCCCCAACAAAGTATATCTAATGTCTGGGTTTTGTTTTTTGCCTTTGTGTTTTCATTAGCAACTCCGACATTCCTGTGTCATCTCCAAGTGGAGAGGGAAGTTCAAGAAAAAGAGGGCAATGCGGCGGAGGAGGCGGCGGAAAGACTCGTGACTGCGGCGAGGTGACAGATGGATGAAACGAGATACTAGCTCCACATGGAGATACTATTAGATTGTCTATGTTTTCTTATGTAGAAGCTCATTATGGGTACCAGTAAAAAAAAAGTTGGTAGTACTATTTCAAACTAGTGTATCACCAAGTTGTAACCGCATTTCTCACAAACATGCCGGTTTTGTAATGGCGTTTTGGCATACCCTTTGTCGGTTTGTCCAAGGCAGTCTCAATAAATATGCTTGCCATAGATGGGGCGCTTTTGCTTATCTATATGCAATGGGAATGTCCGGAGGTAGTGATCTAGGAAAATGCGAACGAGACATATAAGTGGCAAAAAGCACACCTTAGGAATATCAAATATATCCGTGTTAGTATGGCATGATGATTGTCGGCAAGAACAATGGATACATGGAAATTTAGCATAGGACCTTTCTTCACAACGAGTTCGTAGTCGGGTCTTACAACTATATCATTCATTAGAACTCATGTTGTTCATGCACTAAAAGCATCCGTTTCTTTTCTTACCTCCTCACTGCCAAACAAATTGTCGAGATCGGGAAGCTGCTCATACTCAGGACATGTTGGGCAGCTCCTCACATCATCCTCATCTTTGAGATCAGCCGAATCCGGGGCCGGAGCCAGCCTTGTTGTCCTGATTGCAGCCAGAAAATAATATTGAAACTGATGTTTTGGGGATCCCAGGAATTGCAAAATGTTGTTTTAGAAAGAAAGAAAAGGATATTGCAAAACATGGATTTGCATTGTATTAAATTTTTATTGAGATAAAGTAGTATTTTAAAATAAAAATAAAAATCAAGTATTTTCTCTGCAAAGACGCTTTTATATTATGAAACGGAGGAGGCAGTAGATTTCTCAAGTCAATGAGGCAGCAACTCAAGTTACGTGAGCTTTCTTTCTTCCAGGAGAAGAAAGAAAGGCGATCTTGCCTCCTGTCGCCAGGGCGCCTTCCTCCGCCGCCGTCCTCTAGCGGCTCCCCTCCGCTGACGACCTCGGTCGTCGGTGGTGAGGGTGGTCGCCGGATCCACGTGTGTGGATTGTTTTAGGCATTAGTTTCTCAGGGTTTTGGGCTGTTCATTGTCATGGCTTCGATGATGGCGATGGGGGCGCCAACTAATAAATCTTCAGATCCTTCTCCAACAAGGCGATCCGCTTTTATGGTGGATTTGGAACCCAGATTGTTCAAGTAAGGATGGTGTGGCGGCGGCATTCTCGTGGTGGACCTGTGTCCTCGGGCTTCGCCATTGCATCGGTGTTTGCTCCAGCGCCGGAGCTTGGGAGGTAGTCCAGGAGCGGATGCAGATTGTGGTCTGCATCGGCGGCAACTGGAAGATGGTGGATATGGGTTCGTGGTTTGTGGCAGGCAGGTATGGTTTCCTCCTCCAACGTCCTATTTGGACGGGATGCTAGATCTGAAGTTTTATGGCGTGTCCGGGTGTTGCCCCGGTCTGATTCGTTCAACGGCAATGGCTTCGTCTTTATTATCGAGTCACCTTGGAGGTCAGCAAAGCTGCATATCAGCGATGGGGCCACATCGAGCTCGGGTGTGGAGGTGATCCGTCATTTTCTCCTTTGGTGGCTGCTATGGTGGTACCAGTGGCAGGTGACAGACGTTGGTGTCAAGCTCGGAGGATTCTTCAATCTTGTTTGTAATTTTACTTCTTGGCTGATGTTCCTGTGTGCAAAGGGTAGTATTCTACTGCCTTTTCAGTTTTATCAGGTCGGTATATACGTGACTTGTACTATGATCCTTATGATAAAAAAGATTGTTATATGATATAAATGAGACATGTATTAACATAAAAAAAACCCGGAGGAAGCAGTATTTTTTTTCTTGACATGAGGGGAAAAGAAAACGGAAATACGCGTCCTCGAGGTGAGCAGAGAGACGGCCCATTCCCCTGAGAGCTCCCCGCACCCACACACCCTAACCCTAGCCGCCACACGACGCCGCTCCGCCGTCGCCGTCGTTCTCGCCCCCGCCCCCCCGCCGCGCCCAGCGGCTGCTCCCACGAGATCACCGCCCTCCCGACTCCGACCCCACCGCCGTCCACTGCCACGAGCTCACCGTCGCCCTCCCCCGAGTCCGCCGTCCCCGCGGCCACCTACTCCGAGCCGACAGTCGCCCCCTTCCTCGACCCCGCCGTCGCGCTCCCCTTCTCCCAAGGTGACCTCCG